AGAAACTAAGGTTGTAGAGAAAGTAAGGAACAAGCAGGTGAAAGCCAAGGATTACATAACTGGTAATCCTAAAGAAACAGACATGTACATGAGCAGTTCCACCATCAGCCTGCAACTTCCTCCAGAGGCTTCCAATGCGGTGCTTGTCAAGAATCTCTACCTTTCTTGTGATCCCTACATGCGAGGCAATAAGAAACCTCAAAAAGATCGCCTCTTTGACACCTTCGTTCCTGATTCTGTATGCCCTTTCCGTTTCCCTTCTTCCTTTGGCTTTCAATTTCAGCAAAATTTTGTTCTCTGCTTCTGCTTTACTCTCTTGTCATTTATTCATGTATGATACCATTAACCGAAATTTCAGAGATTAGGATGGGTTTTAACTGATATACTCTTCCAGTCCTAAATATAAGAACCTTATATAAGGTTCTTATATTTAGGACCGGAGGAGTATAAGTGGTGAGTGAAGTCTGAAAAAGTTTCTTTTGAATATCATCTAATTTGTATGGGCTGAATTGTTATTTCAGGTAATAGTTGGTTATGGAGTTTTCAAAGTATTGGAATCCAAACACCCTGACTACAAAACTGGTGACTTGCTCTGGGGAGTCACCAAATGGGAAGAGTATAGTATCCTCACCAACACTCCATCTTTCTTCAAAATTGAGCACACAGATGTCCCATTATCCTATTACACAGGACTTCTAGGTAAAAATCATCACTTGCAAATTGCCCTAAAGCAATATGCATATACTTCAGATCTTTTTTTTTTGGCCTGAATATACTTCAGATCTTAATGCGTTGTAATTGTTCCCATTAGAATATGATTCCATTTTGCGACACGCAGGTATGCCTGGAATGAGTGCTTACGTGGGATTTTATGAAATTGGTGCCCCAAAGAAAGGAGAATATGTGTTCATATCCTCAGCATTTGGAGCAATTGGTCAACTAGTCGGCCAATTGGCAAAATTGATGGGCTGCTATGTTGTTGGAAGTGCAGGAAGTAAAGAGAAGGTAGGTATACTCTTGACTTTGCAGAAAATATTACACACGGACCTTTTATTTTCAGATAGAACCCGCCAATTAACTCTTTTTTTCCCACTGCAAAGGTTGAAATCTTAAAGAACAAGTTTGGATTTGATGGAGCTTTCAATTACAAGGAAGAGCATGACTTGGATGAAGCTTTGAAAAGGTCAGTGCAAGAAATTCATTTGGCATACATATAAATGAAAATCTTCTGTTGCTCTCCTGCCCTTAGCAGTAACTCTTGAACAAAGTCCCTTCTGTTGCATTATTCTCCAATCAACACATACCCCAGAACACTGCAAACTTCTTGGATTCAAATAAGTTAAAAAATTATTGTTTACATGTGGCTTCGATTCAAATAGGTATTTCCCTGAAGGGATTGACATATACTTTGAGAATGTTGGCGGTGAGATGCTGGACGCGGCACTTGTGAACATGAGAAGGAGAGGAAGAATAGTAGTGGCAGGAATGATATCCCAATATGATCTTCCAGAGCCTCAACCCATCAAGAATTTGCTGTCTATTATATACAAGCAAGTCCGAATTGAAGCTTTCACAGTGTTTGATTATTATCACTTGTATCCCAAGTTCTTGGAGACGATGTTGCCATATATTAGAGAGGGCAAGGTGTCCTATGTGGAGGCCTTTGCTGAAGGGCTTGAGAATGGCCCTGCAGCTTTGGAAGCAATTTTCACGGGCCGTAATCCTGGCAAGCAAGTTGTTGCACTTGCTCATGAATGATTTGATTTATTGTAATCATTTGAATCTCTGGGTTGCCTTTTTCAGCTTGAATAAATGTCACTGCATATTTGAAAAAGTGACCTATCTATGCTCGTTCTGTTAGACTGTAAACACTGGTCCCAAAAATAGGGGTTAAGAAGCATTACTATATAAATTTCATTGCAATATCATGACCATGAACCTTCTCATTAGAAAATTTAATTATTAAAAAAGTCATACCACGAAAAGGTTAACTTTACTAGAGATTGCATAAAATAAATTGCCTTAACCAAAAACGAAGATAGTCACTTAAACCATATCCTATTCAGTAACTAAGGGTGAGAGAAAAAGAGAGAGAATCCATGTTAAACTGTGATCCTACATAAAAAGATCAAGCATAGAACATTTCTTCATGAAAAGAATTACCCAGTACTAATTGTTACATATCAAAACTCAAGCCATGTCATCTAATTAGATAAAATACATTGTAGGTATTCCAAAAGTCAGAAGAAAACATGCCACATAACTTGCAAATAAAGCACCTTTAGATAAACCATTCCCTCCATTCTCCACAAAAGGTGCATAAGCTTGAATTATGAGCCCAAACTCTAAACCCTAAATCCCAAAAGTTAAACCACAAACCCTAAATCCTTGCTCAAAATGAAATATATACAATAAAGTATTTTATGACTTCTTCAGGTGTTTATTGTTTTGGGGTCTAGCGTTTTATGTTGAGGGTTTTGGGGTATAGAATTTTATGGTTTGGGGTTTTTGTGTGTAAGGTTTAGAGTTAAGGTTTGGTGTTTTGGGTCTTAATGTTTAGGGTTTGGGGATTTTAGTTTTTGAGTTTAGGGTTTTTGAATTATGGATTTTGAAATCTAAGGTTTAGGGTTTAGAGTTTTGGGAGTTTAAGGTTTAGGTTTGATGTTTAGTGTTTTATGGGTTTGGGGTTTCAATTTTAGTGTTTTGGATTCAAGGGCTTGGAGTTTAGGGCTTATACTTTGGTTTTGGCATTTTGGGGGTTAGAGGATTAGGGGTTTTTTTATTTATTTTATTTTAGGGTTTCTTGGTTTAGAGTTTGGGATTTTAAGAGTTTAGGATTATTAGCCTGTAGTGTTTTTGGCTTGAGAGTTTGAGGCTTATGGTTTTAGACTTTAGGTTTTAGGGTTTAGAATCATGGCATAAGGTCTAGTTTAAAAGTTTGGGGTTTAAGGTTTATGATTGGGTTTTTGAAATTTTGGTTTTGAGACTTTGAGTCTAGGTTTAGAGTTTTGGGGTTTATGGCTTTAACTTGTAATTAAAGTATGGAGTAGAGGAAATCCAAAACTAAAAGCCCAAAACCCTATAACCCAAACACAAACACTAAACCCCTATATCTTAAACCTTAAATTCTATAACCCGAAATCCTATTATCCTAAACTCTAAACCATTAAGGCTTAAAAATTTTAAACCCTAAACTCTAAATTATATATCCCAAAACAGGACTTCCTAAACCACTAAACCCTTAAATTCAAAAACCCAAAATCTCCAAACCTAAGGCCTTAAACCGTAAATACAATACCCTAACTCCTAGTACTTTTAAGCCCTAAAATCCTAAATTCTAAGATCCTGCAACATAAAACCCTAAATCCTACACACCAAAACCGAAAACCTTGAACAAAAACCCTAAATGCAATAAACCAAAACTCAAAATCCCAAAACATGAACCTCAAAATCTCAAATCCAAAACCCCAAATACAAAGCCCTAAAAGATTAAACCTTAAACCCAAAAATCCTAAAATAATAAAAACCTAAACTATCCCTAAACACCAAAATTCTAAACCCCAAAACCCTAGTAACTCTAATCCTTAAAACTCAAAACCCTTGACCTAAAACATAGAACCCTAAACCAGTGTGCCCCTAAAGCCATTAATATTTAAAAAAAAAAATCCTAAACCCCTACACCTAAGAACCTTGGACTCGAAACCATAAACCAAAAAACCCTATACCTTACGCATAAAACCCAAAAACTCCAAATCTTAAACACTTAAAACCCTAAATTCATAGAACTCTAAAGCCCTAAAACCTTCAACCTTAAACCCCAAATTGTTACACATAAAACCCTAAACCCCCAAATCCTCAATCCTAGACACTAAACCTTCAAGCCTAGACAACAAAACCAAAAACTGAAAGCCCGATATCTTAAACCCTAAAACCACAACCCCAAACACTAAACCTCAAAACCCTTAGCCCTTAAAACCATAATCCACTAAACACTAAAACCCAAAAGCCCTAAACATTAAACCTCAAAACCCTTAGCCCTTAAAACCAAGAACCTCAGAACCCCAAAACCTCAACCCAAATCAAACGAACAAAATTACTAAGAATACTCAAACTAAACACAACCCGAAGTAGACCTTTTTAACTCCTTCAAATCAATGCCAAAGCCCCCCCCCCCAAATATTACCTTGAGAATGGCTCTGCAAGTTTAGAAGCAATTTTCATTGGTTGTAATCCTTAAAAACATGTTATTGTCCTTGCTCATGAATGATTTAATTTATTATAATCATATGAATCTTTAGGTTTCCTTTTTCAACTTGAATAAATATCACTATCAATATCTGAAAAGAAAACCTATCTACGCTTGTTTTGGTAACATTAGTTTAAAAAATTAAGGGAATAAGATTTCATTTTGAGCAATATCATGACTATTAACCTTTTCATCAGAAAATTTAATTATTAAAAGAGATAAGGTGCTTAAATATTCCAAAAATATCAACAAAGGAGCATTCAACATCTCCAAGTTTTTTTTTTGCTCTTATATGCCTCAAATATTTTATTTTGTAGCTTCTCTATCCTAAATTGTTATCCGCTGTTAAATTTAACCGCTAAAGACATTAGTCAAACTACATAATTTAACGGTCAAACTTAATAGCGAATAACGACTAGGATATTTTTGCTATAAAAATAAACTTTCAAGGCATATAAGAGCCAAAAAATTCCAAGTGTTGGGTGCTCATTTGTGGATACTTCCAGCATATTTAAGCACCTTCTCTCTTATTAAAAAGATTATACCACAAAGGTTAATGTAACTGTAATTGAGATTGCAAAAAATAGCCTATTTCGTATTATAAAGAGTTTATAAGCAAAATAACTTCAAGGAGTTTTGCCACAAATGAAGATAGTCGTTGGATCCTGTAACTAGGAGTGTGTGTGTGTGAGAGAGAGAGAGAGAGAGAGGGAGAGGGAGGGAGGGAGGGATAATTCATGTTAAGCCAATGTGATCCCCCGTGAGAAGATCAGGCACAGGACATTTATTCATGAAAACATTTATTCAATACTTATTGTTACATATAAGAACCTACGCGCTCATAAGGAATATTACATTACAATCCAATTAGATAAAATACACCGCAGAAATCGCCAGAAGTCAAAAGAAAACATGCTTCATAACTTGCTCATAAATCACCTGTAGATGCTCTATTTCCTTCATTCTCCACATAAGACGCATAAGCCTTAATTATTGACTCATACATTGTAATTCCCTTTAGGTACACTTCCTGGTTCAAAAACTGCAAAACAGGGGAGGAATTCAAACATAAAATTCAGTAACAGAAAATCCAGAGAGGGTTGCTTACAAGAATAAGAAAGATCTCAGTTACAACCCAAATAAAAGAGAAAAAAAACAAATTAGTAAGATTACTAAGAACAAACATGACCCGGGGTAGAAAGCAATAACATACTTTAACGCAATGATAAATGACACTTGCAGTTTAAAGATTAGCAAGGAGCAAATAACCCCTTCTACTTTAGAAGAAGGGAGAAGAATGTAAGAAGAGATTATAGAACTAAGGATTTTGCGGAACTTGATTCAAACACACTGCTCCTCAAGGAAATTTCTTTGAGGTTTGTGATTTCAGGCAATTGCGTCGATGGTAACATTTGACATGAAACGTGTCTTTTTAGCAAATACTCAATGCTTGAGCAGGTTTCTCCGCCAAAATGAAAACAACAGGAAGTTGTTTAGCAAAACATCAAAGTTGAGGTGGGTTAGCTGCAGTCTGGTCACTATGTCTATTCCATAACTGAAAATCCTCATGGGAATCAGAGTCGTTCGGGACACAGTGCTCTGCATCACCCAGAAAGCTCTTTTAATATAGCCTTATATTATCTAGGATTTCATCTGGGAACTAGTTCATAGATAGAGTCAATTAGAAGATGATATTAGACTATTTCATGTACATGTATAAGCAAGCAAATGATTGAAGACGGACAATATGAGATCAGAGTCACCTCATTGTGGTCATGAAGCAGAATAGGGGTGTTTGCCATGGGTGAGAATCCAAATGCAGGCAATCCCAGTCGTCGAAAGTAGCGAGAATCGGTTGAGGCAGGAAAGATCCCAGGTTCATGAAGTTTTCCACCGGCCCTTTGGATGGCATCTTGAAGCAGGCCCCACCAGGGATTGGAACTGTCAGTCTTTGTGGTAAATGGGTTCCCAAACTCATCATGAACTGGTGCTTTCGCTAAGAACTGCTCAAGGTAAAATGTAATTAGACAGCCTAGCAATGGTACTATTTCTACCTAACAAAGTAACAAGACAAGGAATACAGATAGTGGGGATCGAAACCCAAAAACCCAAAGTTCAGTCCATATAACCAATCATTAAACCATAATAAAAGAGCATGTAGAATTGTGCAAGTCATTACATTTAATTAAAAGTAAAATTGAAAAGAAGCCAAAAGAAACTACGTAAAACTAACCACTTTCTTGGTATTTGCGAATCTCAAAAATGGGAACGATGAAAAGGAAATGGAGCGAGTACAAAATAAAATGGCGTGCTCACAGCCCCATAATGATATTTTAAACAAACGAACATGAACAAAAATTTAAAGCATTCGAGATTCGCTGACCAGAACTAAATTGGCCTGAAAGGACATAAACAAGCCTCCTAATCAAGTCTTCAAATGGACGGGTCATAACCAAGCTGTGCGCTAATATTTTATACAATAGTCATAAGTTGTTAATAATCTAACTTAGGTCATTAGAATTATATCTCCTAACTTTGCATTTGCAAGAAAGAGACAAGCGAAGCAATTGTCTGTTTATTGAATGTATTTTCAATGACGAATAAAGTTTAACATTTCAGCGCAAAATAAGTTAATTACCCGGAATGTCATATTCCGTGAAGCAGGTGCCCATTCGTCAGCAATCCGTCTCTCCAATGATTCCAGATCAGCAGTTGGTGGCACCCTAATATCGAACCCAACTTCTGCCTCTGATGGTTGCAAGTTCATGACAAAACCCTGACAAAAACGGAAGATCATGCAACGGATTAAAAAAAAAATCAACCCTTGGGCTCACAGAAACTAAAATTAGTGTTTAAAGCCGAAGTCAGAGTATGCACTTGTCCCACTAACCCTTTGCATTGGAGTATGCACGTGTCCAAAGTTCCAAGTTTCTAGTGACTAGCAAGCGTATCCTTTTACACTTTGGTAGGAGGTGCCACCAAATTAATAATGTGCTTGTATGCTAGATTAATCCATAACATAAGAAGAAGAGGCACTGTAGCGTTTAAAATAGGCAAAGTCCGGTAGCATCATTTACCAGGGGGCCCAATGATCATGTGCTATAATGGCCGGCCGGGGATATATTATTATACGTTTGCGTAACAATGATAATGTATATTCAATATTCATACGTAGAACGACATGTCCATCCTTCACATGTATACATGCTCTAAATCCCAATTGACTTACTTACAGTTGGAGATGGTGTTCCAGCCGTTGAATAGGCCATATTAACAGAAATAACCTCGCCTTCGGCCATCAAACCCGCCTTGATCATATCAAACTGCGAAGCACGAAACCTTCTTATACTTTCCAAGCTCTTCATCATATTCTCGGCTGCAGAGTTATCATAAAGCCTTGACCCATGCCCTGGTTGTCCAATAGCCTTTATTACCAGCCACCGCGCGCTCCTCTCAGCATAGAATATCCTGTAATTCTCGTCCGCGGAAGCCATTCCTATAAAGACCATCAGTTTTTCAGAAGGAAACACAAGAGACCTCATTCAGTAAAAGTCAACGACTTATGCTAGATTCAGTAGTCCAAAAAACAATAATAAGATTCCATTGCTAATCACCTTCATCAAGCACTACGCCGATATTCAAACTCTTGAAAACCTCAGATTCAGCAAACTTGGCTGCACCATCCTGCCCACCAATCTCCTCATCAGGAGAAAAGGCCAAGTAGATAGATCGAAGAGGCTGAAGCCCAGAAGCCTTCAAGCGGCGAACAGCTTCAAGGTACTGCATCCCAACGCACTTCATATCCTGAGAGCCTCGGGCGTATATATTGCCGTTGTCGTCAATATGAGCGCTGAAGGGGTCGTACTTCCATTTGTCAATCTCAGAGGGAACAACGTCGGTGTGGGAGTAGAGAAGAATGGAGGGAAGATGAGGGTTAGTGCCAGGCCATTTTATCAACACAAAGGGCTTCCCTCGGACGAATTCGATGGCCTGAGATTGGAGGGAGCTGGATTTGGCTTGGGAGACGAGGAAATCAGAGGCTTGGTAGTAGTTTGGGGTTGGCTGGGAAGTGTTGATTTGAAGGTAGTGCTGGAATCTAGATATGGTTTCGGCGGCTGAGGATGACAAGGATGATGAGTGTGAAGCTTGGACGGACGACCAAGCCACGAGGATAAGCAGAGAGAGATGAAAACTAACGGTGTTGGGGACGTGGAACTCCATGACTAGGCACTACTTCCCCCGAAAAAGGCGCCGCGTTCAAGCAGTTATAAAGAGACGCGGCTATTGGGTGGAAAGTGTGGGGCCGTCATAAAATTAAATATACAAATGTAAAAATAAAGGGAAAAGATTTAATTTAATAATAAAGGAACACACGATGGGTTCCGAGTATAAATAAAACCAAGCAGGGGTTTAGTGCCCATATGCATTGCGCACGCATCCCAATACTAAATCTTAGAGATCAAACTTTCGAGGGAAAAAAATTATTATTCGGAAGATTCGCTATCAAATTTAAAATTATAAAGAATGTAATTTATTTGATTGTATTCAATTTTTTTTCCTGATTTTTACGTTTGTATGTTTTATTTTATAAAATAAAATGCATTATTGCCCCTGCTGGCTCAAAATCTCAGCTCTGCCGCTGCGTGGGCGCAATATGATTCTTATTACTACCTCTGGTCCTTAATATAAGACCCTATTTGACTTTTTGTTTGGTCCTAATTATAAGACCCTAGTCCATTTTTCTCTCATATTTATGCATTTTTTTCCAAGATAGCCCTTCTAATAATGATAGTTCTAGCCAATACACTTAATTAACAAGGATATTTTAGGAATGATAACATTTATTTATTACAAATAACTAACTTAACTTACTTCCTTAATCTTCTCAAATAAGTCAACTGGGTCTTATAATTAGGACCGGAGGTAGTATTGTTTAATGCTATCCTTAATCTTCTAACTCCTGACGTCTTCATAATGTTCACCTTATATCAGTTTATTCCTTTTTAGATAAAGAAACCATGAGAGGGAAGGGTGGAAGTGAGAAAAGGCAAGGAACAAAAAACCGGACCGGACACTAAACCGGTTGAGGTAGTGGTTCAAGGGTTAATGGGTCAGACCAGAGTTAACTCGAGATCAAACCGGTCATATTAAAATAATATAATTTAATTAAAAATGACAAAATATAACAATACTAATAATTACTAATAACAAAATATAAAGAAATAAAATAAAAATTTGATTGTAATAATAATAAAGTACAACAATATTGAGAATTTTGATCTTTATAATTTTTTCAATAACTAAAATTAATAGTTATTGATGTCAAACTCATCATCAAAATTCATTTAAATCTATAATAATTGAGATATTAGGAGTTAAATGAGAAAAAATAGGATAAATATCAATATATTTATTTAAACCGGTTCATTACCGGTTCATATCGGTTTTTACCGGTTTTCACTGGTTCACACGGGTTTGACCGGTTCAATCCGGTTTGAACCGGTCCCCGGTTTAGCTTATGAACCGGACCGGACCACTGACCGATTCACCGGTTCACCGGTTGAACCGGCCGGTCCGGTCCGGTTTTTTTTATACTGAGAAAAGGTGAACACATTGAACAATATCACCTTTTCACTTTTGAAAAAATAAGTGTTAGGTTTAAAGGTGATGTGATCACGAGAGACGTGAAGAATAAAGCAAAATCATTCCCTCTAAGGACAGGTTTACCATAACGCTGAGTCGTTTTCATCATATAAGATTTCAATAAACTTGTTTTAGTGTCGGTAGCATATAGTAGGTAAATTTTCGGACAGGACTATGGCGTGGGAAAGTGTGGGGCCATCATATACTGATAATGACAACGTAGTAGTATCATGGCATGAGTTTGGTGCTCAAAACACGAAGGAAGGGCTTCCCGTCCCAGCACAAGACTACAAATATAATAGCATCATGTGATCTAGCGTCCATGCAGTGCATTGCTCCCGTAGTACGCATCCCAGGACAGTCCTTCCCATCCATCTCATCTCCCATTCCCATACCCTCCATGTTCTTTTAGGGACATCTACTAATAACCTTATAAGTGGGAACAGGGCCATTTTCATGCTATCGGGTTATATAGTCATTAACAGGAGGATGACCTTTGACGTATGGCCTGTGGTCTTTACTTGTATGCTTTGCTGACAAGCCCTAAATACACTTCTTTCGTCTTATCCCATTCCCATACCCTCCTGGCATTTTTTTGGCTCCATATAGTGAATGTTAGGCGAGCATATATACCCTCTTGTTTGTTTTTTAATACTACCTACTGTACCTAATATAAGTAGATTAAAAAATAGTCAAATTAGTTATTTATAATAAATAGATGTTATCTTTCCTAAAATTTCCTTATTTGCTAATTATGTATATTGGCTAAGAGTAGAACTACCATTTGATAAAACATTTAACATGTACAACTACTACAATAATTATGAAAAAAAATAAAAATATTAGAGACAAAATAGATTGGAGTCTTATATTTAGGACTAAATTAAAAGTCAAATAAGTTCTTATATTAAGAAGAAGAGATAGTATATAATCTCTTGAGCCTGAATTTACCTTCTTCTTTTTTTTCCCCCGACGTTACTAATTGTCAGTGTGTCTCTGCCCAGATTTGCGAAAAGCCACCTGTCCATGTTGAGTCTGTTACGAAGTATTTGCTGTTTTACTTTTATTAAGAATATATATTAACGAAGATTAATATTTATTGTCAACCATTTATCTATACATACGTTTATTAATGAAGGCAAAAAACATATTTATCTACATTCATCTCATTAGCCAAAAATTATGCCTCGGAAAGTCAACATTACTGCTCTAGTTAACATTAATGTAGAAAATAAATTGCCTAAGCCTATTTCATTTTGTATCATGAAGGGCGATCATAAGCAAAAGAACTTCGAATTTCGGCACACACACACACACACATATACACACTCGCTTTTCAAAATGAAAATGGTCACTGGGAGATCCATGCCAAGCCAAGATGTCCCCTCTCACAATTTCATGCACACAACATTTATTTATAAAAACATCCAGATAAGGGTTTGAGTACCTTGTAGCAAATTGTGGTCCAAACCCTAGTCCCTGCCTTGCTCCCATTCATTATTGTTACACATCAGAACCTACTCAAGGCCCATATGGTCATGATATTACAATCTGATGGGGGGGAGGGGGAAGGGAACGCATCTCAGAAGTCAAAAGGGAAAACAGGCCACATAACTTGCTCACAACTCGTCTCTGGATTCTCTATTTCCTCCATCCCCCACGTAAGATGCATAAGCCTTAATTATTGACTCATATATCTCAACCCCCTTCAAGTACACGTCTCGGTTCAGAAACTGCAAAACAAGAGGGAAATTCAAACATGTAATTCAGCGACAGAAATTCCAGAGAGGACTCCTTGCAAGATAGAAAGGGTTAATTACAATCCAAATCAAAACAAATCAGTAAGATCACTCAAATTAAGCACAACCCGAGGTAGCCATTTTTTCTTTTACTCCTGCAAATCAATATCGGATAAGGTTTTTTTCCTACAAACTAATCTCTAATTTATATATACATAGAATTAATAAGTTGCAATGACACTTGTGGCTTCAACGTTAGCAATGAGCAAATAACCTCTTCTAGTTAGAAGAAGGGAGAAGAATGTAACAGAATTGATTATTGAATTTAAGAATTTTTACAATTCGATTCAATCACAGTGCTCCATCAGGAAATTTCTGAGGTTTGTGAATTCAGGCAGTTGTATCTTTGGCAACATTTGACTTGAAATGGGTCTTTTGGCAAATACTGAATGTTTGAGTAGGTTACTTAGCCAAAATGCGAACCAGTCTTTTGGACATAGTTGTGCGACCAAATAAATGGATACGAAAGAGGAGAAATAGAAAAATCGGGCCCAAGCAATTGACTCCCGGTAGATCACCGGGACAGTGCAGTGCTTCAGCCAAAAAGCTCTTCAATGTATCCTTATATTATTCAGGGTTTAATCTGAGATAATATTATACTATTGCATGTACATAATAAGCAAGCCCATTATTGAAGACAACATGAGATTAGAGTCACCTCATTGTGGTCATGAAGAAGAATCGGGGTGTTTGCCATGGGTGAGAATCCAATTGCAGGCAATCCCTGTCGTCGAAAGTAGCGGGAATCTGTTGCAGCTGGAAAGATCTCAGGTTTCTGAAGTTTTCCACCAGCCTTTCGGATGGCATCCTCAAGCAGGCCCCACCAAGGATTGGAACTGTCAGTCCTTGTGATGATTGGGTTCCCAGACTCATCATCCACAGGTGCTTTCTGCACGAACTGTGCAAGGTAAAATGTAATTAGACAGTATAGCAGTGGTGCGATCTCTGCCTAACAAAGTAAATAGATAAGGAATAGGTAGACAAAGGAGACAACTCTGAAAACCCCAAGTTCGTTGCATAACCAATCATTTTTCTGACCGAGCATAACCAATCATTGTGTAATGATTCATGATTTCATATATGGAGTCTATGACATCAATGAAGAAAACAAAACGGCAGTTTATCAATCAGCTCAAAGCTCCCATCTTTCTAATCATCACAATAATAGAAAGTGGCAAGTGACATGTGACGTTAAATTTCAAATCCCATCATTTTCACTTCCAGTTTTTTTATTGGCTTCTTTTCCTGTTAAACAATTAAACTCATAAGTCACAAGGCGGAATACCCTCACCACATTTGACACCCCCACAACACCCCCCCCCCAAAAAAAAGGCCGGGCCTGCAGAAAAAAGGGAACAAAAATGCCAAAATACCTCAAATGTCTACTTTACAATTTTTCTTTAACAAATATGACGTTATAGGTTATCATCACCTCAAATGCATCTTCACCTGAGAATTATCAGATTTTTTTAAATACTACTTACTATTTTCATAAACGATTTTTGTATTTTATGGCTGATTATCTATTGTCACTTAAGCTAAGCGACTGGAAAGTGATATTTTCAATTCAATTTTTTGTTCCTATGTTGTCCATTTCTTTGTTCTAGATCAAAACAAACATCAGTATGTTACATTACATTAATTCCTCATCAAGAACTGTAGGAAAAGAGGACAGGGATCAAAGCTATGCAATAATATTTAATACAGTAGTCACAAGTTCTTAATAATCTAAACATGATCATAGAATATCTCCTAAGCTTGCATTTGCAAGAAAGAGACAAGCAAAACAAATGTCCATTTCTTGTATATGTTTTCAATGACAGATAAATTTTAAACATTGAGCACAAAGTAAGTTAATTACCCAGAATGTCATATTACGTGAAGCAGGTGCCCATTCTTCAGCAATCCGTCTCTCCAATGATTCAGGATCAGCAGTTGGTGGCACCCTAATATCGAACCCAGCTTCTGCCTCTGATGGTTGCAAGTTCATGACAAAACCCTGGGAGATGACGAAAACGGCATTGTAACGCAAACTCCACTGCTCATGTGTTAAATAAATCTATACAATAACAAGAAGTAGCATTGGGGCGTCTAGAATTGGCAAATTCCACTACTTGTACATCATTTAGTGGCCAAACTCGATCTCTTTCAGGGTGCCCAATAATTACATGCCCCAATAAGGGTATGTATAATTGTACGTTTGCCTAACGATAAATGTATATCCATAAATAGAATCACATATCTGTCGTACACATGCTCCAAGTTTCATTGACTTACAGTTGGAGATGGTGTTCCACCCTTTAAATAGGCCATATTAACTGAAACTGCCTCGCCTTCAGCCTTTAAACCTGTCTTGATCAAATCAAACTGCGAAGCACGAAACCTTCTTATACTTTCCAGACTCTTCAACAGATTCTCCATGGCAGAATTATCATAAAGCTTTGCCCCATGCCCTGGTGCTCCAGTAGCCTTTATTACCAGCCACCAGGGGCTCCTCTCACCGTAGAATACCCTGTAATTCTCGTTCGGAGAAGCCAGTCCTACAATTAGAATCAGGCGTAGATGACAATAAAGACCATCAGTTGTTGAAAAGGAAACACAAGAAAACTCATTATGACTTGCGCTATGATTCAATACAAAAACAATAGTAAAATTCCATATCTAATCACCTTCATCAAGCACTACACCGATATTCAAATTCTTAAGGAACTCAGATTCAACAAATTTCCCTGCACCATCATGCCCACCAATCTCCTCATCAGGAGAAAAAGACAAGTAGATAGATCGAAGAGGCTGAAACCCAGAAGCCTTCAAGCGGCGAACAGCTTCGAGGTACTGCATCCCGACGCACTTCATATCCTGGGAGCCTCGGGCGTATATGTGGCCGTTATGGTCAATATGAGCACTGAAGGGGTCGTACATCCATTTGTGAAGCTCAGACGGAACAACATCGGTGTGGGAGTAGAGAAGAATGGCAGGAAGATCAGGGTGAGCGCCCGGCCATTTTAGCAACACCATGGGCTTCCCTTTGACGAACTCGATAGTCTGAGATTCGAGGGAGAGGGATTTTGCTTGGGCGACGAGGAAATCGGCGGCTTCATAGTAATTTGGGGCAGGTTGGGCAGTGTTGATTTGAAGGTACTGCTGGAACCTCGATATGATTTCTGCTGCTGAAGATGACAAAGATGATAAGTCTGAAGCTTCAATGGTCGACGATGCTACGAGAATAAGCAAAGAGATATGAAAATACAGGAATTTTGGGACGTCGAACTCCATGATTGCGCTTCACCACCACCACCACCGCAATCCAGTCCAGCAGAGTAGTTGGCTCTGCTTCACTTGAAAAAAAACTAAAGTGGGGAACATTTTTATTTTTTGTGTACAATAATTTTTTATATGATGTATAATTCAGTTTTTCTTTATGTAAATAAAATTTTCTTATATATAAATCATCTTCGTTTTTTTCCGTCAGACGCTCACAATTAATTTTTTTTACAATCAATTATTATAGGGACTATTTGTCAATTAAATTTGTAACAAGAAATTTATCACTAATTTTTTCAAAAAAGTGCTGCATCTTTATATTGGTATATGTGTTTCTTTATATATTAGCTAAATAGCTAATAATTTAATAATCTGTTATATTTTTCTCTCTTCATCTATTATTCATCCAATATAACGTTATACCATTTCTCAGATTTCAAATGTAAACCATGGACCCGAAGTTTTATTCTAATTTATTTATGAAAAAAGTGGATTTTTTTTCCTCATGCGTTGGCTGGGGAAGAGTGGAAGGAAACGGTGGAAGCAGTGATATGGACAATGAATATAAATATATAATACACTTTCCACTAATCTTAATACTCCTCCGATCCTAATTATAAGACCCAATTGACTTATTTGAGGAGATTAAAGAAGTAAGTTAAGTTGGTTATTTATAATAAATAAGTGTTGTCATTCCTAAAATATCTTTGCTAATTAAGTATATTGGCTAAAACTATCATTATTAGAAGGATTATCTTGGAAAAAAATGCATAAATATAAGAGACAAAATGGATTGGGGTCTTATAATTAGGACCAAATAAAAAGTCAAATGGGATCTTATAATAAGGACCGGAGGAGTACTAACTCCGATCCTAGATATAAAAACTAATTAACTAATTTGCATAGATTAAAAAAACAAATTAAGTTAGCTATTTGTAATAAATAGGTGTTGTTTTTTCTAAAATATCCTTGTTAATCAAATTTATTAGTTAGAATTGTCATTATTAGAAGGACAGTCTTAAAAAAATAAATAAATATAAGAGATAAAATAAATTAGGATCTTATATTTAGGAACAAAACAAAAATTAAACAAATTCTTATATTAAGAATTGGAAGTAGTAATATATAGTTAAACACTTCTCATCTCTAGGCAAAAATACAACATTGACCTGTAGTGACCAGAGACGGTGGAAACAAAATCTATATAGATTCGTGGATGAGATAGCTGCTATTACCTACTAGTGAATCTGAGGAGCGTAAGCTTTGATATAAGGCCAACATGGTTAATGAGTTACACGCACCTTTGAGAAGAAAATACAATCTAATAGGTTTGACCCTCCATTTCTTTCTGAATTACATTGACACTTGACAGTGAAGGCGTTATGTGGATTTATGGTTACATTGTGGGGCTAAAGTCCAAAGAGGCTCGCTCACCCTGTCATACATCTCCTTTTAGTCTTGCGATTCATAAACCTTGAATCGATTAAACGAGCGTAAAAAGAAGTCCTGGACAAAATATCATTTCGTATATGACTGCGGATGGTAAATCTGTCGTGATCATGCCTCGTTGCTTGGCACAAATGACTGCTCAACTTACAGCGCAAGATATAGCCCCATTTCTTGGAATAGGTTCACGAAACGACAGAGGATATATCTCCCCGCAACTGAGCCCAAAATTTAAATCCACAAAACTTGTATTCAAAATTCCGAAAGCAATCCTACTATTTTTCAGCTGAATTGCTGCCTGGCGAATAGAAGAAAAGAGAGAGATGATACTGCTACTTTAACCATGAATGTCACTTCAGTTATATAGTCTACTGACAACTGGTGTGTCATACGTAAATTGATTATCTGTCTGATCCAGATGTGGCTCCACCACCGGCCATGGGGAAGCAAATGAGCAAGAGCTCCTTGATGATGCTAATGAGAGGAAGCGACAATGTTGGTGCAAAGAACCTCACTAGAATTTTGAGACTATAAAGGGCCAGAGCCTTTAATTCTGTCTTCTAATGCTAACTCCTTGAAAAAGTAGAAACTTGAATTCTGCTCAATCTTTTTGCGCATCCTGCAAATATTTGTCATAGTTTACAAACCATGGGAAAATAAAAGAAAAAGGACACATAATTAAAGGTGAGATAAGGGCCCCAAACAAATCAGATGGAAGATCTGACCTTAAAATGAATCTAACGGAACTCATCATGGTAATCATATTGATCTTCATCATCATTGAAAATAGCACTGTAGAATACATACGGGTTCTCAATCATCTCAGCCAATGTTAGGCACCCATCTTTGTCAACATCTGCCTGCCATAACATTACGGAAACATTGCATAACGATGGCTTTCTTGTACTAGTTACACTTGTAAGTAATCATAAAAGATTTACAAAGCGAGGATAAAAGCAGTAATTACTAGCTTTTGACGTTTTTGTCATTATCATATTTTTTTAATTATTATTAAAAGCAGCAGCCAGTTTTTTAAACACCAAATGACCCTGAAGTAGCAACCGAACTACAACACTTCAGTTGTATTATCGTTATCAGTCGGTAATATCATCGTGTTTATGTATGCACAAGTTAGAAGAGAAACTTAGTATGAGGATTTGCTATCATATTTGATTGATCTACACATACGCAATTGAAAACATAAATAAGCAGATGATGCAAAAATAAGGAATATATCAGCAATTTAATAAGCATTACAGAGAAAAGCAAAATCAATAGACTTGTCCAAGACCTGTCTTGTGTAGATATATAGATTGGCCTAAAACCGAATGATGCCTGAAGACAGTGATACAGAGAGAGATAGAGAAAAGTGTCATGTCAATGACGATGACGAAGCAGGAGAGGTGATGGAATAAAAGCCTTGAGGACCAACGAGTACTGCTAGCCATATAGAAAAGGTAAACATGATCAAGCTTTTCATCTCAAGGCAAATACACCAGCGTTCAGTGAGAACATGCATTTCGAAAAACGCTAACAGACAAAAGTTCATGCAATACCATATCAACAAAACGAAAATGTATGTTCATGTCCAAGCAAGAAAGAATTGACAAATTTGTCGTCAGCAATGAGAATGTAATTATCCACCGTTAAAATCCACACCTGCGAAATGATGTAATCTGCTTGCTGCTTCGCGTAATATCGCTCAGGCGGATGAATTTTCCCAATTATAGATAGCAGCTCCACATCTGACAAGTGTCTAGAAAAATTGACATAAAATATCAAAGATGCTTGATACTAAAGAGGGTATCAGAATCTTAAAAACCATATCTATGATGAAAACAACAATCAAATACCCGTCACCATCTTTGTCGAGCTGATTGAACAGCATTCTAGCTGAAGCATCCCCAGAAAAATCAGAATGATATGAACCATTATGATTTTCTTCCTCATAGGTTCTTACCAAATCAAATAGCCCATGGAAAAATTCCTTGAAGTTCATCTTTCCATCTTTGTCTGTATCTCTTTCCCTAAACAGGAAAAAAAAGGACGAAAAGAAATCAAGAATAAGGCAAGACAATGATGCTGTAATGCAACAAGAAATTAAATTGAAATTTCTAAACTGCTTCAGGGGAGGGAAAAAAAAAGGTTAACTTCAAATATTTTGTACATTACAGATATTTGGAGCAAATGTAACCATGAAACTAACTCTCATAATAGAAAATAATCATGAGAGAAGTGTTAAAGAGACTGGAGAACGTAAATCATTATTATGAACTAAGAGGCCGTAAACCAAAAGAAGGAAGGCTAAGATAAATAAGGATATATTGTCAAGACACTACCATGAGCAGCTGCATTGCACAAGTTGACGGTTCAGAAGTTAAGTAATGAATTATTTACTCCTTTTAAGCCACAGAAAATTATTAGCGCTAAGATTGATTGATTACCATAGAAGTCATTATGATGACCACGAAGTGAAGGATCCGTAATGAGTTTATTGATGAAATTATATGATGTGCGTCTGTATCATTCTTCCTAACATTTTCAATAATACATTATAACATAATAGCCAAAGTGTGCTGCATGTCCATAACTTTTGAATCACTTACGCTTCTTTTTGAACTCTTTCTTGTTCTATGTTTCTATAGTTACCTTCGCTCTCCATAATTTCTGCTTTTCAACTCTTCCTGCTAAAACAACATGAGGGGAGTGTTCATTATGACAGATGAGAGGGCTAAATCCGGACTCTTGGATCTCTTTCATGAAAGGTCAATGTTTACCCCCTCATAAACAATGTCATTTGAGCAATAGAGGGCGAGTTTTTTTTTTTTTAAAAAAAATTTATCATACCATATCAAAATGACTAAGATTAATATGCAAAAAAGTAAGGTCCAAAACTTAACGTGATAAATAAAATCAAAGAACTATGAACAAATAGCCAAATGCCTGTTTAAAAGGGAAAATATGGTGAAGAGGAGTAGTGGCAATCACTGAGGAGGAAGGAGGAAGAAAATAATCTGGATGATGTGACACGTTTGGGAACAAAAAGTCAACCAAGAGAAAATACATGTATGATCAGAACGATATATATACCTTCAAAGAAACTGATATAAAAGCTGTCATGGGTATATATGAGATTTTAAGTCACCTTAATTCCTCCCTGCACAACCATCCAATTAGCTTTGGGTTTTTGGTGTCAGCTGGGTGCAGAAAGCTACAAGATAATGAAAATAAAATTTAAGGAAAGGCGTTAGAATTGAAGAAAGAAAGAAAGAAAGAAAATCATCGATGTTATAAACTAATGTTTCTAAAGAAGCAGGAGCTCACTCATTGTATTCAGTTAAATTTAGAAGACCATTTCCATCTGCATCGGACGCCTTAAAATGCTCTTCTTTCCACCAGCCCACGTTATAACCGAAAGAATTATTGTCTGACAAATTATAAGAAGAAGCATTCAAGACAAAAGCATCCAGGACCAAAATCACAACAGTAACCAATATGGCGAAATTATATGTAAGAACAAGCGAAAATTAACATTAGAAAAATTATTAGCTAGAGAATATTGCTGCAGTTTTAGGAAAATAATAATCCCAGGTATTGGTTTAGACTTGGAAAGATCCAGAAGAAAATATCACAATTTGCACATTTCATCGA